TCCTTACCCTGCTGTGCTTGAGTTGGGAAGCTCATGGCAGGTGAGTGAGTGAGAAGGAGCGAGGGAAAACACTGTACAGAAGCCACAAAAGAAATTGAGCGTTCATGGTGTTTCGTACAGGTACTACTTGGGGCACACTTAACCAGGGAAAGGAAGGCAAGAAAGATCTGTGAGGGTGACTAATTCTGCCCAGTGTAGCATCAGTTATTTGGTTCCAGGCTGAAATACGATGCAGTTGTGTGTGTGTGTCAGAACCCAGCCTAGTTATTGTTCTGCTTTTATCTGCAACAAATATTAATAAAATCACAGAATGGCTGAGGTTGCAAGAGACCCCTGGAGGTGATGGGACGTTTGTCCTTTAGGTGCTGCACTACGGTTTCTTTCATTTGACTGGATCCCAAGAGGAGCTCTGGGGCTGCTTGCCCTGCCGTGTGGATATCCCCCCGTGCACTGAGCGAGAGTGAAGGTGTAGTTACAACACAGCATTTCTCGTCCAGATTTGCTTGGAAGTGTGGAGCAGGCATCATGGTTGTGAGTGTTATCACAGGGTCTGTGAATGTGGGGTATGAACGGTGTACCTGATACTAGATTGAAGACGTGTCAGAAACATGGTGGTTTGGACTATATCTGTACAAACTGTAAAAAGAATAAACTTGCTACAAAGTGGAGTTGTTCCTGCATCTGAAGGATAAATTACTGTGACACATGATGCCAACTTTACATTTAATAAAATGTGTGGGAATACAAATGGATTTAGGGTAAACTAACTCAGCTGGGAGCGTAAAGATACGGCCTTACCGAGTGATCGCTGGGAGACGCTGACACCTTTCTGCTGTTAAGCCCCGAGTAGTTCTTCCCCATCAGAATGTTTTTCTAGTTGCACTTTTAGCTACTTCCAAGGGTTTATGCTGAGCTGTTCCTACTGGAATCTGATACGCCTGTTTTTGCAACGATTGTGGAAGATTGAAAGTGGAAAGCAATAAAAATTTCTGGGGATTTGCTGGGACTTCCCTAATTCATAGTTACTGTTGTAATTGTTCCCTCTCCCCTTTTTTAAACCTGCAAATTTTTATTATATCTTGCTTTTACCAGAAGCTTCTGGAAATGGTAAAATGTGATATTTTAATTCCGTAAATCCAGCATAGCCTTGTGCCACTGAGCAGTATCAGCCAAATTTGTAGTTTAAATTTGTAGTTTGGATGTTGTTGCGGTCACTGCTGGCATAGGAAATGTTCCTTCTCAAAAAAAAAAAAAAAAGAAAAATTGCCTGGCTTGTCAGAGCATGTCCTCCAGCCTCTGCACCTCTTTTCCCTGCTTTCTGACTTGCTGCCTCCTGCCTTTCTCCTCCCGTTTGCCCCATCTGCCCATTTCTGATTTAGGCAAGGAGCGGGATGTGCTGTGACGGATTTAGAGCATGTGCTGATTTGCCAGCTGGCTGCTGTCTCTGAGCTGTTGGGTCAGCCAAACAGAATAGATAAGGTCTGAGCCATCCTCTTCCCAGTAATGGGGAGTAACCTCTACTCATTTGCTGTGGTGTTTTCCCCACGAGATTTGCAAAATCTCAAATATACTTAAGGTCACTAGACCTTCCCTCTGCTTTTGAACCTGGAAAGCCAGAGTAAAACTGGTCTGAGATGTTACGAAAATAGCGCTAATAGCTATGGCTGAATGAAGTAGTTTATTGTGCTTGAATACATAATTTAATTATTGGAGATTCTATTCTTTTTTACAAAAACAGAAGCAATAATGGTGTTAGACATATACTGATGGTCTCAGCTGGGAATTGCTCTGGTCTTATCCAGTGTTTAAATTGTGCATAAGATCGGTGAAACCGCTAGCATTTTTATATGAAAGCAAATGTGTCTTGGTCAAGAAGCTTCTAGTGTGTAAGACCTAGCTTGAAAAGAAATGATTATTCACGGCTGCATGTCTGTGTTCACTCTTGAAACCGCATATATGTTCACTTCGCTGCAACAAATAAAATAGTAATAATTGTAGGCAGTTGTTTTAGAGCATTCTCTTTCTCCTTTTTTAATTTTAGAAACCCTAGATACATTAGATTCCCCCTACTTCTGTTAGACGTTGAGTTGAAAAAAGATAAAAGAGGGGAGTTGGTGAAGGAAAGTCCTGTCAGTCTGGGTTCAAGTGAAAATACGTAGCTGAAAACACCTTAGCGACATCCTTCAGTAGCTAAAAGATCAGTTTTCTCTTCCTCTCCTGGACGTTTCTGCTGCATTTGAGATAGATGTGAATTATTGGCTGTCAGCCGAGGAACGACCACGAGTCCTGCCTGCACCTCCGAAACGGCAGCGTCCTTGGGGGAGCTGCTGGATAGCCGCTGGACGGGTGCTTCGAGTCCTGCAGCCGTCGTTTCGCTGTGTGCTCCTGTTCACTCTCTGCCTTGCAGACCCTGGTTTGGACACAGGTTTTGGTGTCGGCAGTTTGCAGGTGGCACAACTGTATGTGATCTTTTCTGCTTTAGAACTGCTCGTGGTTCTTTACTATTTATTACGATTTCAAGTTGTCAGTATTAGGATCCTCTGGGGTTTTTGTGCTAATGCCAGCCTTAACCATAGGCAATGTTCTTTGCATATGTTGCTGTCATGCGTGTTTTGTTGTAGGGTATACTTCCCTGCACTATAGGTGATGCTGTTGCTTGGCATTTACCTTTTCATCGCCTCTGGGATGGACTGTAGCAACGCACCCTACTTGGGCACGGAGCCTCCTCGAAACACCCAACACTTTCAGTGCATGCTTGTAGCTAAGCAGGCTGCTGTGGGTGCTGTATCCCTGTATCTACTCATTTCCCACAGGATTTCAAATCAGGCTGAAAATCTTTTCACGGGTCGCCGGGCCCAGCTATCGCAGCGCACAGCTGCAGCATTACCGGGTTCATATGCGCACAGCACGGTGCTGTGTAATACAGTACGCACCCTTCCTGCTTTCCTCAGGGAAACATTTGTCCGATTTAGTCTCTTGGTCCAAATTACACAGAACGAGCTACAGCTCTAGATAGCTGTGCTGATTCCTAAATGCTGTGTGCTGGGTTTCTTGGACGTAGGGTTTCTGTTTGCTCATGTTTGGATTAAGCGAGGCTGCGAGACATGGTTTTGTGTGTTTGTGCAGCTCTTCAGAAAATGAGATACTTAATTTACGACCTTTAGTCTGAACTAAGCTTGATGATTTACATAGCCTAGCATAATCCATCCTCTTAAAATTGTGTATGTGATAGGGCTTCTGAGATGATATCGTTATAGCTGCTTTAATCCAAATACTCAATAATACCTGCTGTACTGAGGGCTGGAAAGATCAACTGCATTATCACAACGCAGTCCTGCCTTGGAACTAGGCTGGGGAATATGAGCATAACTGCTTGCTGAATTAAGGGCAGCGTCACATCTCTGAGTGCTAAACCCAAACTCAGAATCCAGGCTTGCTCTTCTCTTCATTTTACGACGAGAACAATCTTCCTGTAGGAACAGGAGTAAGCCTGCCTTGTAGGCAGGAGCACCTCTAAAAGCCTCTTAGCAATTTCCAGTGAAGTCCTTCAGCAAGATGCTCCATGAGCATTTCAGAGCACAGAAAGCCAATGGAACGCTCTTGCGTCTCTCTTGGAGCAATCCAAACAGGCTCTTTGGTGTCTTCTGTGTCTGGATCAAAGCCCTGGTGAAGGAGATTCCCTCCAAGTGCCTCCATGTCTACGACCCACCCACGAGCAACAGGGACCGTCGAGAGTCTGCCCCAAGCGTGCTGCCAAGGACCTTGGGAGAGCTTTTATTCAAATTTAGCCAGATGGCAGGGGGAAAAGTGGTCATGTTGTTATTGCTTACTTGAACGACCCTGCGACATGGCCGTCATGGGGTAGCCTCGGCTTAAATAATCATCCTGCGTAGCAGGTCACGTCAGCTGCTGTCCAAAGTCGCCGTCGTTCCTGCTGTGTCAAAGGGATGGATATTAGATCCAAGCCTGAGTAAAAAGAGATGATGGACTTGCTTAATAAATAATCATTTTTGAGAGACAGTGCTGAGAAATTACTATTTTTAAACTCGCTTCTCAACCCGCAGGAGCAGCAAGAGCTCTGAGAGTAATCTTACGTGGCTGCCTTGTCTTTCTCCTGCTCCGCTCAAGAGAAATCAGTGACGCTTGTCACAAGACTTTACTTGTTACTGATGTCAAGAGCTTCCTAATCTCATTTGGAAGGTCCAGGACAAGGAGAATATCGGTTCATCGTTGTGTTTGCTGCATTTCTCAGGTCTTCTGTATGTGGGAAGACTGCGTAACCTGCTGTCGGGGCACTGACTGATGCTGTGCTGTTATTTTAGAGGTCACTCCAGTACTTTTGTACTTGTTGTTTAAAAAACAAACAAACAATCCCACCCCCCCAAAAAACCCCGACCATACAAACCTTTAAATTATGCACATAACAGATTAAAGGAATTGCTATTCTCTGCTCATTCTTTTAGGGAAACAAATGTTTGCTCTGCTGTCCCAGCAACCGTGAGAGAACTGAGCTGGGCAAGTCCAAGAGTTGGACTCTGAAATTTCCTCTTGAATAACTCTCCTGAAGTTCCTGTTCAAGTGGTTTGGGAAATTTTTACGTTGCTTGGGTAGTTTGTTTTTAAGAGACAGTGGCACTCACAAAACTAGAGAGAGGTGTCACAAGAAAAAAAAATGGGAGGGAATGAGGAAGAGATGGTGGCAGCATGAGGAAAATCAGTGGCTTTGAATTCAAAATCAACTTATTCAGAGCAGCCTCTCAAATCTTACTCTTGAAAAGAGATAAACATTGGTTTATAAAATGACTTGGGATCTGTAAGCGAGGGGAGATCGGAGGAGAGAAATTAACTTTTTAAATACAGTGTGCCAGTGATGAGGTATTAATAATAGAGTAAGTAAGCTGAAATCACTACAATTAACAGTCTTTATTTTTCTTTTGTCTTTCTTTTTCTTACCCCAACCCTATACGAAATCCTTTCTGCTCCTGATGCTCCGGGGAACAGTAGGACCCAACCAAAGGTAAGGGCTTTTATTGAACGTTAAATCAGCGCGTGAAAAATTGTCATATCACTTATTCAGTCTTGGGTTATCCAGATACTAAAAGCATTTCGAAAAACAGCTCTGTAGTTGATCAGCTGTTGAGTAAGAAACTCGAAGCATCTCCTTGCTGCCGAAGAGCACTGTACAGCCGGTGCCAAAAAATGAGTCACAGGAACAAATGAGAGCACACATACTCAGCATTACAGACTGTGAATGGAAGACTGCTTGTTATTTGTGGGCTTTTAAAAGTGTTTTCTGGTATTTGTGTTAAAGCAAACTCATTTTGTTGTTAGGGCTTAAGATCCCGTGATTCTGTATTTGGAATGCAGGTTTCTATCTCGATCTGAGCATGTCAGGATTCAGCTTCATTGATGTGGTCATATAGCCAATGATGTTTTATTAAATGCTCTGAAGGAGTAGGATGTTATACTAATACGCTTAATTGAATAATAAATTCAAAGAACCAAAAAAACCTTAATTTTAAATAAGCAGGCTGTTGTTCCCTCAATTAGAGGATGTAAAATAACCACTTTTATCTTTTGATGCTGGGACATTAATGTAGTATAGGGAAAAAAAAAGCAGTTTATTTTTGAAGATAAGTTATTTAAATTTCAAGGATTTTGCTGTACTAAGTATTTTCGTAAACATAGGTAGTAAGTTTGGATGTGCTGGTAATATGGATTTTCGACTCTTGCATAATTTTTCTAATTATTGTCGATAGTATAAATACTTGAGGAAGATTTTCTTTATTGCTCCATGGGTCCTTAAATGATTTTTCCGATTCCATGATATGATCTGTTAGGAAATGCTGTAATTGAGGTAATTCACTGTAGACTCGGTATTTCTTTTCAGGGTTTTCTCATTATTAACGTATATAAGATGCAATATATTTTGTTCCTACAATCTTTACTAGTTAAGAAATGTTGAGTTTGATTACTTATGCAGATGCTAGTTCATGGTTAGTGCCTTTAGCGTATAGACAACAGACTTCACTAAAATGGGACATGAAAATGCGTTAACAGGTAAAACGAAATTTTCAGAAATAATGGAATGAGGGTTCAGGAGGTGGATGGGAGATGCTGACATAGTGCACTTGCTCTGCCAGCAGGATCAGAAGCGATGCAAACGTTAGCTACGTAGCAATACGGGATATCTAAAGGGGAAAGAGCAGCCTTCATTAAGCTTAGGGGAGACATAAACAGCCAAAGAGCAACACATTGTGCTCCTTATATCCTACAGAGTAAATTTTGCCTGGGTGAAGGTAGGTCAGATATTACCCTGAATTTTTTTTCCTTACAAATACATATCCAGGGGAGTTGTTTTTGCAAATGCCTGGTTTTGCAGCCTCAAGTCCCGAAATATGCACTGTCTTATTGGAGAACAGCTTTCATGATGAAAGGTGCCGGTGGACCTCTAAATGGATTGACCACAAAACTGAAAATTTTCTATTTAAAAAGGTGATAGTGCTACTCCTCTCGTGATAAAACTCATTTGCTCTATGTTGTTCTTTACAAGCATTAGACTTTGGTGACGAGTGTTTCTGTTTGTCAGCAGTATATAAATAGGTACTCCTCTTCTATGAAAAGAGGTTCCTACCCTAAGGCATGTTTTTAATTTATGCAGACAGGAGACACGGGAAGATGGTAGGCAGAAACAGCCAGGGGACATCTGTCAGTTTGCAAAATAGAAAGTCTTGTGAGAAATGAATCGCAAGGATGGGTTTAAAGGAAGATAAGGAGAGCTCCTTGACATCCACTTGGTTGTCACATGGAGGGCTTTTGGAGAGCATGGAATAGGATTCTTACAGTAGAAAGGAAGAAATAAAAACAAGGAAGAAATAAAAGCAAGGAACAGGCTTGTATATAGGAAGATGCAGTGTTTGTTTAGGCTTCGAACTCATAGAAAACAAGTAATTTCGTGGGAATGTGTATTATGTTCAGAATGGCCCTGAGGAGCGTGATGTTAGCCAACATGATACAGCGCTGTCAAAATTTGGATAATGTGTTGATTTGGCAACAGTTTTTATAAGGTGTCCTCCTGGTTATTTTCCTGCAGGTGTTTGCTTACGATCACTGCTTTTGGTCTATGGATGAATCTGTCAAAGAAAAATACGCAGGTAATATTTACTGTAGCTTTGTGCTCCTTGTCTCCAAGTGCAAGCGATCTAATTAAAATACAACATTTGCTCCAGGGCACAGACCGTATGGCACGAAGTGCCTCCCCCTGTATGACTGCTTGCTGTCAAAAGAAAAAGGAAAATCTTCAATTATTCCTGTTTCTCTTCTCTAAAGAAGATAATAGCAATAGGCATTGCTGCCTGTTTGCAGCGTAGGAAATTCTGAAATCCATCACAAGAACGGGTTACTCATATTTACATCCCTATTTAAAATACTGTTCCAAGTCCATAATTTTAAAAGCATCGAGTCAATTTCTTTTCAGGATTTGAGGAACATTGCTATATGTACTTTCATGTTTCACAGTGCTGATGGGAGTTTGGCCTCGTATGAGAACTCAATAATGAAGTATTAAAAAAAAGCCTAATTTAATATAGGGGAATGTGAATTCATACGGTCTGGTGAGAATGTGTAATGTATTTAATTAAAAGTTTTCTGTGTATTATTATGACACATTTTGGCAAATAGTTATGGTAAAATGTGAAATATATTTGGACTTACCACGCTTGTGATCTTTTGTACCTTTCATACTTGTTCTCTCTTAAAATTGGGAATCAGTTAAGCTTGTTTACATTTATTAAAAAAAAAAAAACACAAGAAAAATAAAAGATGCATATGCTTCTAGGTTTTAATTTCTCTATACAAATAACTAATGAATAGTAATTTAGTGAGGAATTGAGAAAAACGTGACACTTTCAGCCATACAAATTACGCAGGAAGGTAAAGTTTTTGTTTCTCAAAGTAATGGAGGCGCCTATGTCACTTATATTATGGTCTGTTATACATTGGAAGTGTTGGGTCCAAAACCATTCTGCTGTGCTTAGCTCAGCACGGCTATTAGTAATTTTGATGGGGAATTCTGCGTGCATAAAATTCTGAGTGGACTTGGATGTAAAGATACGGACGTCAATCAATGAGAGAAAAGGAAAAGCTTTCAGGAACATTAACGTATTTGAGAGGACTTTTCGGTCCATAAAGTTCTGCCATGTCTTGTTCAGACTTCAGTTCTTCTGCTTGTAAAAGAAATTCTGAAAGTAGGGGTTTTGTTTGAATAGATAATACCCAAGTATATTAAGCATTTCTTCCTCTGTTTGGAAAAGGAGCCGAAAAGCTGTTTCTACAGATTTGGGTCAGTTACAAAGAAGAGATATATCCTGTATTTTGCTAATGCATGTCTCATACTATATCATCTCCCACATAGTTGTGACTCCTTCTCTGCAAAAATCTCCTCATTGTGTTATTTAATACCTTGTACATACACAGCAAAATTATCTAGTGCTCCACTAATTGCTCTAGATTAAAATCAAAAGGCAGTTGTTAAAATGTATGGGTTGAGCATATGTTGAGGTGGTGTCATTCGCCGGTGGATGAAATTCTGCAGCTGGTAGTAGATTTTCTGCTGATAAAACTTCTGAGTATGACCATTGATAGGATGTTGTTTTAAGCACATACAGGTATATCCATGATAATCACAGCTTCTGATTTTTACAGTAGCATAAATCTGGAGCATGTCTACTGGCTGATGCTCTTGCTCTTGTAGAGGGAGCAAATACTGGATGCTAAATATGTTATTTGGGCACCAACAGCAGGAAAACACTAACTGTTTGTTTTTACCTAATTATTGAAGGATCCAAATCAAGGGGTGGGGGGAATCTGTTGCTTTGTTACAATGTTAGCTTGTGTGTTTTATTTCTTAGGTCAAGATGTTGTTTTCAAGTGCCTTGGAGAGAATATTCTTCAGAATGCCTTTGAAGGCTACAACGCTTGCATCTTTGCCTATGGGCAAACTGGTGAGTCCCTTCCGGACGTAAGCAAAAAAATATCGTTGGCCCAAAAGATGTGTTACGTTCTGACTGGAGACTTTTCACGGCTGTTGTGGCATTGTTTCAGGAGAAATGCCTTGTATTGTAGATAAGAAATGTTTTTCTCTTCTGTAACATTAGATGTGAGGTGAACAGGATGAGAAATAGGATTTTGTCTGTTGCTGCTGGCTACCCTTATTTCTCACACCTTAGATTATAATCTTTGGAATGATTGTGATCGTCCTTGAGTTCAGTGCATCACTCGTGTTTTCTACATCTGTAGTTGGAATAATCTTAATCATCATTTTAAATGTAATACGTAAAAATGAGCATGTTGGTGCAACTGCTTTTTCTCATTGTGACACATACGTGGGTGATAGTGGGTTGCCATCTAACTTCTTGTTTTGTTTTTCCTTTTAATTAAATAATCTTTAGGTAAATGGTGTTTTGGTTGCTTTAAAATAGAAAACTGCACAGATATCTTTCACTGAAATGCAAATTTTTTTTTTACCTTTTCTCTCTATTTCATTTCCACGTTCCGCACAGCAAGAAACTTTGTTGCCTGTACACTAATTATAGATTCAATCACACAGGATCTGGAAAATCATACACAATGATGGGTACTGCTGACCAGCCTGGATTAATCCCTAGACTTTGCAGTGGACTCTTTGAAAGAGCTCAGAAAGAAGAAAATGAAGAGCAGAGTTTCAAAGTGGAAGTATCCTACATGGAGATATACAATGAGAAAGTCAGAGATCTTCTTGACCCAAAAGGGTAAGTAATTGGTGTGTCAACAGCACTGTAATAAGTTGTCACACACTCTTCCATTCCTAACCAGCTTGCCTTAATGGATCCCATCTAAGGCATTTGCGTAGGATGGCTTTTGCTTCTTCCTGATCTCGGTGCCCTTCCATTTTAAATCAAAATAAAGTAGTGAGACTAAAAGCTCAAAGTAAACTCACCCTAATGCTAGCTTTTAGGAAGTGACAAAAATGTCTATGTCAGCATTTTACGTGTAGACATAAGGCTTTTTTGTTTGTATTATAGTCCTTGTTCTGTGCTTTATTATGGTATTTGTAAGACCATCATGTTTGAGATCTGTCAGTGAGAAATTGACTTTCTATAAATGTTGTCTTAAGTCAGTCATGTGCTTATAAATAACTTTTTTTTTCCAACCAGAAGCCGTCAGTCATTAAAAGTTAGAGAACACAGTGTTTATGGTCCTTACGTAGATGGCCTATCCAAACTAGCTGTTGCTAGCTACAAGGTAAGGATCAATTTTATGAAAGGCTTGTGTTGACATCCTAAACGCAAGGGTGCTGTCCCTTAAGCAGGAGAAAATGAATCTACTCCTAGTCGCCATGGCAGTAACATGGATTTTAGGGCAAGAGAGCTGTAGGATTGTTGTATTGTGATCACCGGGGAGGACAGAATTAAGAGCAGAAACTTATCTTCATCCTGTGCTGTTCAATAATTCTGGAAGTAATTCAACTATTTAATGAAACAGCTTTCCTCCCAAACTTGAGCGTACACTGTATCCATGAGAAAGCATTCCGTGATTAATTACAGAACTAGGATTTAGCAGAGACGGGCTTTCAGTACCACATTTTGTCACTTTTTGGCTGTCATGCTATTGCCTAGTAATTTCACTTACAGTAGCACACAGGCACACTGGAATTATAAACTAATGGTTGTTTACAAGGCAAATACTGAGCACATTGCATGAAACTTGCTTGCTGGGTAGTTAATAATTATATATACATTCTCAAAATGCCCTAATTTTTAAGAAGCATTAATGTACTGTGGGACAAATGAGTAAATATGGGATGGAATGCTGTCATCTTAAGCAAAACATGAAAATGGTGCATTCCCTCCTATTGCAGTCTCTCCAGGTGTTCATCTCGCTGGTGGTTTCTGTTAAGACACATTGCATGCTTTTCCTTTACATGTTGCCCAGCAGCTTTGTGTAATACGGCGTACAGAGTCACAGTGGTCTGTGGTGGTCTTCTGTTTGATTGTTTTTGGGTTTTTTTAGCATCATCCAGCTAGAGATGAATAAAAGTTAAGCCCAAGACTCTAAAGTTTTAACTATTTTACAGGATTTCTGTAAAACACTGAAGTAGGGGAGCTGTGTGTTTCTCAACTATCACAACTTACCATATCAGAAGACTTTATAAGCTGTTACACGTAGGGGGAATATAATGAGCAGTTCAGTGTGGTTCTGTTTTATAAAACTTGGAGCCTAGTGTCAGTATTACAGATTTCAAGAACGTGTATTTGACAACTGAGGCTAAAATGTTACGGTGTTCAAACATGAATTGCTGTTTCCTCACTTTTTTTCCTTTGCTTTTGAGTATTGCTGTGTGCAGCCAGGTGCATTATTTTTGTTGATAATTTAATACCTGGGTAGAGGTAACGGATGAATACACACGTCACAACATTGTGTAATTTCTAGTCTTTTAAAGGGGAGATCACAATATTTTTTTTCTCACACTTTATGAATAAACAATGGGAAACTTAGTGGGAAGATAGTTGCTGTATTTTACCAAAAGATACTTGCTGTATTTTACCAAAATTGAGATTGTTTCAGTAGATAATTGAAAAGAATGTTAATGCAGATATGCTTATGGCTGTGAAAATTGTATCTAGGACATCGAGTCCTTGATGTCCGAGGGCAACAAATCTCGAACAGTGGCTGCAACCAACATGAATGAGGAGAGCAGTCGGTCCCATGCAGTCTTCAAGATTATCCTCACCCACACTCTCTATGATGTACAATCAGGGGTAAGTAAAACAAGTTACAAGGTCTGAATGTCAAGCTTGGATGTGTGTCTCCTGCTTTAATGTATTTCACAGACTCTTAGAAATGTTGGCTGGAAGGGACCTCGGGAGGTCACTTGTCACAGTCTCCTGCCCTTGTGCACTGCTGGCGCTGGATCGGGTTAGCTATGGCCTTGTGTAGCTAAGTCCTCCTAACGCTCGTGTGCTTATGCCCCAATGCAGGGAAATCAGTTTTGATACGTTTGTAAGTGGAAATGTGTTTTTTGAAATGGGTAGCAAAAATGCAGGCCCCGAGTTGCAGCAGACCTGCTGGGGGGTGCAGGGAGGATCTCCTAATCCTAGAATCTAAACTAAAGAAACACTTCTTTTTAAGCAACGGTGTGTAGTACAGACTTGGAGCAGAAACTAAAGATATAATGTGTAGATGCAAAATAGAAGAACACCTGAGTATACATCTGGTAATCTCCTTCAAGGGCTTATTTCATGCAAATATGTATAAATTATCATCTTTATAAACAGAAACACCCATTCAAAAGCTTTGCATTGTATGACATTAATATTTTTATGTATATATATTAAATATCTAAAAGATTTAAATGTGAAAGCATTTTTCTTTACATTTCCTTATATGTAAATATTCCTTGGAGGGGGGTGTGAAATACATTTATGTTAATATTATTTAATCCCTCACAGAAAATGATGATAAACTAAAAAGGAAATAGATCTCCTATACCAAAACTCTTTAACCTTCGCTGATAGATTCTGTGCTTGAGCTATTCTTTAATGTCTTCAAAGCCTTGGAGAAATTTTGAGTGTCCACGGAGCAAACCTAAGGCATGTATGTGCCTAAATGTTGAATACAATGTAAAGCATAATGAGCATTTGAATTTTTTTCCTCCTCATTTCTGAGTCTCCACCAATCTCCTTATCCAAGCAATTTTCCTTCTTCTTTATTTGTTCTTTTTCCCCTTTGCTCTTCAAATCAGCAGTCATACTATGCTAAACTCCCTTGATTTGCCATGGTTTGTCATTCTGTTTTTGCTGTGGCTGTACTGCATACTTATCATACATATTTTTTGTGTGGTCATGGTCAGCCTGGATGCAAGGTGGTAGTTCTGCTTGTCCGTCTTTTCTGCATCTTCCAGTGACCACTGTGTGAGTTTCTGGAACAGATTTCTCTGTTTTCCCATCTGCTGGTCCTTTCAGTCCTGGAAACGACACGTTTCAGTATGGCCTGATGATCACACTATACTTTGAGAGGCTGAAAGTAACATTTTTGAAAGCATATTGATTCTAATTATCCTGTTCATTTAGGGGAACGTAGCACTTCACAACTGTGATACTGAGATGCTCAAGTCGTAGATGCTGCAGAAGAGCATGATGTGAGCAAACTGTCCTCAAAGGCAGTTAGCTCTTCAAATTGACATATGAAATTCATGGAGTGTTTCATGTCTTTTGGGGTCAAACGAGATAAAAGGATTTGTAACAAAATCTGCGTTACAAGTTTAAATAGTCGCATAACTTGGATTGCTTTCTAGGAGGCTGTTAAGGATATAAGAGACTTAGCAACTGTAATAATTTTCGTAAATTATAACATGCTTCTCGTCACATTCATTCTTACTCTCTGAAAAACAGAAGAAACTTGGTATAAAATCTGAGATTTTGGGGAGATTGTTTTCAAGATGGGATTGTAGACCCCGTGTCTGTCTGTGTTACTCCTTGGCCTGTACTACCTCAGCATTTTTCTTGGTTTACCATTTTACTAATGTGCCCTGTGTTCCTCTCCTCTGGAGATTTCTGAGGTGTCTTGAAGATATTGGTGTATCTGACTTCACTTCAAATCCTCCTATTGCTTCTGAAGCAGCAGCTAGTAAGTTACACAGAATACTGTTCAAGACCGATGACTTTCAAAGGTGTTGGAACAGCTGCAGAGAGTCTACACCAAGAAGTGAAGCTTGATTCTTGTTTGAAAATACATCAAACAACGTAACTCAATGTGAGTGAACTAACAGTAGCTGTTCTCTGCTTCCTTCTGCAGACGTCAGGTGAGAAGGTGGGCAAGCTGAGTCTGGTGGACTTAGCAGGCAGTGAAAGGGCAACTAAGACTGGTGCTGCAGGAGACAGGCTGAAAGAAGGAAGCAACATTAACAAGTAAGACTCTGATTATTTCTTTTCCTTTTTTCATCAGTACAATCACGACTGCTAAATACAGCATACTTGTAAAATAGGATAAAGTCAATATACGCTCTTGTAGTCAGTTTTCTTCTTCCCATCTCTCTACTTCTCTTTGTGACACGCAATACTCTTAGACGTTTGAGTGAGTTCTCTGCCTACTTAAAATGGTCGGCATTTTTCATTCTATATTCCTGCAACTACCACATAATTGCATTGTGAAGACGTGATTATTAAGGCTGAAAACAAGGAGTAGCACTTCTGTGAGAGAAGAATGATCAAAACTGTACTAGGAACTTTTTCCTCAGCACTCATTTTTTGGAGAGAAAGGGACTGTCTGAATATGCATTTGACTTATGAATATTTACACTTGTTAATGACTGCTTGTGTTCTCTGTGCAGATCCCTCACAACTCTTGGGCTGGTTATTTCTGCCCTGGCAGATCAGGCTGCTGGCAAGAACAAGAACAAATTTGTTCCTTATCGTGATTCTGTGCTCACTTGGTTACTTAAAGTAAGTACTCTGATCTCGTTTTTTTAAAGAGAAATAAAAAGGAGGAAAAGGTGAGAAGAGTCCCATTCAATGAAATAGAATGCTGCTCTTTTGCCTTGTTTTCTGCTTTTGGTGTTAACCGTAATTGTCTTTGGAAAATTAGCTGGATGTAAGCCATTAGTATCTCTACAGAATAAATATTTTCCCTGTCTTCTGCTGACCTGTAATGGCCTCAAGAATAAGGAATTTTAAAAATAAATAAATAAATAAATAAATAAGCATTATCTTTTATGGGTCAGTTTGCATACAGCTTCACACACAACCTTGGGGCTAATTTAATTTGGGCTATTGCCACATGCAACTGAATTTTACATACTGGCATAGTTAGCTTTAAAGATTTTGATTAAGACTTTTTGATTATCTTTTCCTAATTGTCTAATATATTTGTTAATATAATCCACTTTTGTCAGCAGAGTATAATTGCAGAGCATTATCCCGGTTACAGTCTGAGGAACAGGTCAGAAGACTTTGTACATCATATTCATGTGAAATGAGCAGTTAAATCATTTTCTGTACTGCATAGGACTCTGGTATTATTTTTTGGGGAAAAAAGAGTGTATCATGATGGTGCTTGGAAGAAGTTCTGTAAGGTCTAAATGAAAAAAACAAATTATTAAATAAGAGTTTTATGTGTGTTGAATTAGAAGGCAAGCTTTTGCTTTGTTGTTTTTCCCCACTTCCTAGATACAGTGGCCGTAAAGCGTGGTAGCCTGCTGACAAAAAAATCTTGGGAATGCAAGATTGATTTTAGGTGTAGTCGTCATCTGGATTTCTCCCGTGCTCTGAAGGAGTGGCAAGCACAAATGTAGCCACTTCTATCTCTAAAAAGCTTGCCTGCTAGTAAAGGTGGCTTGTCTTTCTTTTTCTTATCTTGCCTGGTACAGCTTGAGTGGTCTTGGTTGACTTGGATTTTAAAGGATTATTGAATTAGGTGTCCCATGTAGATGATTTCAGTTTCATTTTTGTAACCTGTCATTTTGTTAAAATTTTTCTCTTTCATCATTTGACTGCCAGGCTGTTTTGTGACCATGTCTTGTAGAAATGCTAACTTACCAAGTTGCCTTTTTTCCCTTGTGCTCTGTTTTATTGTTATCAAGGAGCAACTGAGATATTTCTTAGTAGAAAGATATCATCTGGGAAGAAACTGATTTGGCACCACCAGCCTTTTTTTGTCCTCTTACTTTTGTGGGTGCTCTGGCTAGATTTTATTGTCTTGAATACTCTGCTTTGCTTCCCCACCCATTCTTAGCAATGATTTTAGAAGTTGTTTGAATTTTGATTTGATTGCACGTGTGGAAAGAAAAAGAAAAAGTTACTTGCAGGTTATACAGAGGAGTGGAGATTAAAAAAGATGTTTTCCTTAAGGAGATTTGAAAACAAGGTTGACTTAAATGCTTAAGTAAAATAAAATCTCTGCTCATGTAACCCCTTGACACCACAAGCCTTCATTTTTCTCAGTACTGTCTTTTAATGAACCTTTTAGCATGACTGCTGTGAAACGATTTATCTCTTCCCCCCGGTGTAAACATCACAGATACTGGATGTTAAATAGTACAGTCATGAGGGCTACATAAAAATCAGAATGGCATAACAGAAATAGCGTCTGGGCTTTTCTTCAGGAAAGTAAATCCTCATTTCATGGTCTTCCTTGCGCTAAGACTTTTTTAGTGTTTAAACATATTTTTGCCTCAATATATATTTACACTGAGTTTTTACTCTAATTAAACAAGTGCTTTTTGGCTCTCTGCAAAGATGGGAACAAAACCAGCATGCAGCTTGCTTCAGTTTGTTCCGGTGGGATGTGTGCTTGGGTTCCTGATGTGGCTGTAATAGTCTGAGCAAGCAGAGTGGAAACTTCCCTAACGAATTTCTAGCGTTGTTGTTAGAATTAGTTATGCTGTTCCATTTCTAAACAAATCCAGCAAGCAGACTGAAATTCCTGTTTAGCACCTGTCTGATGCATTGTAGCTACGATGACGATGGCCATACACAGCACAAGCTGTAGCTCATAAATAGAAGCACACTTTTGTTCTGCCTTCTTTCAAGCAAACCTTCTTTGTGTCTTTAACATCCAGCTATGTTAAGTGCAAACAAAAGGTTTGGGGCTTTGGGATTTTTTACAAACAAGCTCATTGAAGAGAAGCTTTATTTTGAAAAGGGAAAATTTAAACATTTTTTTAATTAAGGATCAAAGGAGGGATTTATTCGTTTAAAGAGGCCTATTTGTAGAAGCCATGAGATGGTGGGCTATCTTTCTCTCCAGCTCTCAACTGTTAATTATGATGCCAAAGCGGAGTGAGTGTGTTCTAACACTACAAATATCTGTCATACAGAGTCTCTCCACAAATCCGAGAAACCAGTAAGAGTTCAGGAGATCTCAAGATCTAACACTTTGTCTTTAATTTTGTTGAGGATCTTTAGACAAAAGGACCAGGTGAAAAATATTACTGCAAGAAGAGGCTTGGAGAGTGGTGTCAGGTCATGTAGGGGAAGTGGAATAGCTTATCAGCCCTTTATCAACCCTTTAGCCTCCTGGTTTTATCTAATTCCGTTGATCTCGTTTTCCCATTTTTTTCAGAAGCCCTATATGTTTTACTGCTGGCTGCTTTTAAAAATACAATTACAAATCTTTCCATTGTAAGTTCTTTTCACAGTAATCTTGGTGCTAGAAAAGACTGTGCTAGTTTAGTCTTAGAAATAACTAAACTTATTTATTCCCACTCCGTGTGTGTCTCTATCGCATGCAATCCCAGCCTTTCCAGGGTAATTTGCAGATGCTGTCCTCACTAATGAGAGGCTGGCTTAATATTCATCTACCTTTCTTGCTTAGCATTAAAGAAACCGGTGAAATCAGCCCAACAGTTTTATGTATAAAACTTTATCCGACAGTCTGCCATTGGGCTTGAATAGCCACAGTACAAGAGGAACTTTACCCAACTTATAATGGGTGTTTTGTGACTTGCGGTGTATCACTGTAACAGCGTTCTCAGCTGCCTGTACAGCAGAGTTGCAATGCAAATAACGAATTAATCCTATTTTGGAGCTAATTAGTGAAGTGAAGGAGGTTCCCAAAGTGCGAACTGTTACGGTTTGATTTGGACGCTGAGTACCTGGCCAGGTCCCTGATAAACTTCATCATTTTATGCAGAGCAGGGATTGCAGCTACAGAGTGTCGTTCCTCATCTTTGAAAACCATTGACAGATTGAAGAAAAGTCCTGGCTTCCGCAGAGACAGAAATCCCATCGAATGAGTCATATGCTTTTATTAGTCTTTTTAAAGTTTTCAGTAGATACTTTGGAAAAACATTTGTGTGTTACAGAGTGGATCCTCCCAAGCCATGTATTTATTGGAGGAAACATTGCTCCTCAGATGAGCGGAAAAAACCCACGCCGGTATCAGTCAGAAGGCTGTGATTTTTCGATTGACTTCTCTATAAATACTCTTACCTGCAAGTGCTAACCATGCTGGTGTACCTGACTGTGCTGAACACTGTACAAATGAAATTATATTCTCTACCCAAAGAGCTAACAGCCCTTTTGCATGACCAGAGACAGCACAGTGCTAGCAGTGCAGCAGCGAAGCAACATCGGTCTGTGTGGTCACTGCTTGTCTGACCACCGAAGCAGCCAGGCTGCTGTCAAATTATTTTAGGCATCACGCAGCAAAATGAGTCTTAAGGAAATACTTAAAGGGGCATTTTAATGATTGCTAGGGAAAGCTATGTGTGTGCTTTGTAATGGAAATGGTTAGACAAGCAGCTAATGTAGTCAGATTGTTCTAATGGCAATGCCTGACCTAGATTTCATGGGTTATTGAAGATGAAAGTTAATAGCATGGTTCCTCTCAGAAAGGGATATTGGGTTAAAAACAAAACCAAAAAAACCCCCCAAAAAACCACCACCACCACCCCATCCCCCAAAAAAACCCCAATCAACCAAACAAAAAATTTTGCAAAATTTAAACCAGACTATTTTGTCATTTAGACTGGCTAAAATTGTAAAACACAATTTTGTGGTCAGTAAAAAGGCGGCGCGCTTCCTTCCTTCCCTCACTCCGCCAACACGCTGCCTTGCAGGAATGTGGTTTCACGCCCTTCTTCTCTGTCAACCAAATTCCGAAAGGGTAATTTCTTACATAACTCAATTTAGATTTGTGAGCTGTGTAAGTGGGGGGAAGGGAAGGGCCCCATTCTGAAATATTTATTAGGATAAATTCAACTATATTGTTTATGAGGAGATCTTTAAGTAATTTAAATTAAGTACTTACTGGAACCATCTCGCTTCCAGTCTTTAAAATAAGATATTCTGAACTCATCGTGATCTTTCCTGAGCTCCTTCAATAGTATCTGAGAAATCGAATGCTGGAGTGCTTATATTTCTGGTTTATAAACCTAAGCAGAAAACATGGAAGTAAACCTTTGAAGCTCTTACTAGGCACCATAAAGCCCAAAAAAGGAACTGTTTTCATTCCTGTTTAAACTGAAACTGATTCTGAAAGCCAAGAATGACATTTCCTAAATATGCTTAAAAAAACAAGATGGAAAATAACAACTTTCCTTGACTTTACACAGCTTAAAATATTAGTTTTGAACTAAGGAGCTCTGACAAAAATGCTCCTGTTACTAGCTGCCCCCCATCTACTCCCAGCCCTAGGTTATTATTCACTGCCTAAGTTCATTGACTGGCTAAAACCAAAGGAACCTTCTCTCTTAATTTATAACATCTACTGCTTTCCAGGACAGCCTTGGTGGTAACAGCAAGACTGCCATGGTAGCAACAGTAAGCCCGGCAGCAGACAACTATGATGAGACCCTTTCAACACTGAGGTATGCAGATCGGGCCAAGAACATCGTTAATCATGCCGTGGTGAACGAAGACCCCAACGCTCGCATTATTCGGGAGCTCCGTGAGGAAGTGGAGAAGCTGCGAGAACAGCTCACAAAAGCAGAGGTACAAATTTTAGTCTTGACTAGCCAGTAAGTCCTGTAAACCCCGTTGTCAGGACTTTCTTACCTGGCTTTTGAAAATGAACGCCACAAAGAATTACTACATGGTATCTGGGAGATACCATCTAAAGTCTCCCTTTAGATCTCTTCTTTCTGTTTTTCTGTTTGTCAGTCTTGAAACACGGGTGATAATGTGAGATACCAGGTTCTGTTTGAACATCTCGTTGAGCAATCTTGGTTTTATTGAGAGATACGAATCAAAAGCAAGGGGACATGGAGGCAGGAATAGGGGTGGAGCCTTAGGATTGTGCAGTTTATAGGCAGAGCTTTGTTGGTGTATTTTAAGAATTCAATGTGGCTACATCCTGTGAGATGTGAATTCAGTTAATGCTTGCTTACAAGCTTTAACTGTTCTAAATTGAATCTCTTACAGGTGCTAGACAATATTAGGAATATCTGCATAGCTGCCTCAATGAAATTGTGAAAGGAGCATGGTCTAAATGTTAGATGAAGGCCAAGAACTAGTGTAATTCTGAGTTTTGTCCTCAAATATGGAAAAGCAATGGTGATGTAATCCGTCTGTCTTGCAATTCAGAAAAATTATGATTACAGTATTTGCCTCATGAGATATGCAGGGAATGCGGGCTGTGATATGAGAAATGACTAGTGAATTTTGGACTGTTCTCATTTGAGCTGCTTAATATGCTAAGCATCCAATAAGTGTATATCAGTTTCTTTAAGGCATCTCAAGTTAAATATCTAAAAATTCCTCCAAAATATGAACCACAGACTTAACAGTACTCTGAGAGATGCAAGTGTTCCCTATTTGTTTCATTTGTGAGCATTAATGCCAAAATAATGGCAGCTTTCCAAAGTAATGAAGTAGTGTTTCCTAAATGTGAAGTAATAAATATTTCCATTTCCAAGTATTGCAATCCCACCCTAGTTGTCATCCAGTGCCATTGACAAAAAGCATGGAAAAAACGCTGTAGTTGGCTATGGAGAGGCTACACGGTAAGGGTCAAAACCCACAGTTGTTGTCTTGTCAGTTGATTACATTTGTAGCCCGTCTAATTGTTCTTAGAGAAATTTGCATAAATAACTTCTTTTAAGTGAACAAAAGCATTGACCTGTTATGACAGTCAGGTTACATTTTCAAAGCTCATTTCCAGCTACAGAGGTTACCAAGTTGTGGGGTTTGGGTTTGGGGTTTTTTTTCAGTGTCAGCATCCTTTTCTCTCCTAAACAGCCAAGGAAGAACAGAACTTGACAGGTTTGGTTTTTTTTTTTTTTTTCCTCCCCAGAAGAATAAGGTATTATCCTCTTTTCCCCTTTTCTTTTTTAATCCCCACATTTTGATCTTTTCTTGTGGAGATTAATATCCCATGTTTTAATTTGTCTGTGCCAAGACCACCAGCTTGTCCTTCCTCAGCTGGGAATTTAAACTAACTGCTTCCAGCAGAGAAGCACGCCGGCTGGTCTGGTGCGAATCTGGGCCCGTGTATCTGTTGGTTTTATAAGCATTGTAGAGAGTGAGGAGAATTACCTAGCTCATTTTACAGTTGAAGCATGTGAAAATGTTGAGTAATTTTGATTACAAATAGACAGACGAGACTTAGATCTTGAGAGTAACAGGGCTTCACCTTGCTGTCCTGCTCCGTAGTGTCCAGAGCCTTTGCACTCATCATGTTTTATTGGTCATAAGAAATCTTTGTTCTGGAGATTGCATTGGCTTCACTTTCCTTCCTGGGTGGAATTCATGTTCCTTTTTACCCTGTATTTAGATATTTGAGATATTCAACCAGAAAAAGACTACATGGGACACATCAGCTGACAGTTCATAGGCTGTTGTGTCTTCAGGCAGAGGAAACTCCTGTCCTAAAACAGGATTTTCCACTCCTTGCTCCTTTTCTTGACCAAGCCGCAGTGTAATGAAGCCACTCTGTTTGATTTGGATTCCTGTGAGGAATTTTGGGTTTTGTGGTAAGGGAATATCTGATGGAGAACGATGCTTGCATTGTTTAATTGGCCTTGCATAAATACCTACCAGCCAAAACCATTTTCATCTCATTAGCAGTAATTAAATAACGACGTAAGGATGTCCACAGGCTTCCTGCTCAAGGTAATACAGGAGGAATATGCCAGTACCGAGACCGGAGGAAGTAAATACGTGTACTAAGAAAATGTTGATGTTCTTTCACTTTTTGGAGTGTCTAATGGGTGGCAGTGGGGGTATCTGCTTATTCTCAAGTCCCCTTGGGTGGAACATGGGCCTTGGACTGTTTCACAAAACAAAATTAGAGCTGTGATGGATCAGCAAGAAAATTGAGTTTCAGTGTCCGGAAACACATCGTAAGGCTTCTTTTGATACCCACTGTGTAAAATGCGTGTATAGAGGTGGATAACCAGAACACCTCGAGTGCCTTGATATTTGCTGCAGGAAGAAAAAAAAAAATCACACCCATCAGGCCATATCAAAACAAACGATAAAAATATTTTGGTGGCATGGCAGTGTAAGTGACTGAGATGTTAACTGCCATTTTGAGGGAAAGCAAGCTGAGACTAGGGTGGCTAGCCAGATCAGCAGTGTCTGAGAAACACGACTGTTTTAGATACGAGTCGTTTGGGATACTCATATTGGTATAGAAATGAGATTAGTCTGCATTTGAATGTCTTTGTGCAAATCTGCCAGTATCATGTAATTGGTTTGCACTGGGGTATATAAACTCCACTTTAGCATCTGTACTCGAAACTAATTAAACTATTTTCGATGAATTTTGCATTTATATGCAATATGTATTTTAAAAAAACCTTTACTTACTGATAAGTATGCCTTGGAAAATGAGTAATGTTATGTTTCCTTTTTTCCCCCATCTGTGTGACAGCGATGTGAAAAAAACAAAGCACAACGAGCTTTCTTGTTTTATTTGCTGTTATTTCCGCAGGCTATGAAATCACCAGAATTGAAAGAACGATTGGAGGAATCAGAAAAGTTGATTCAGGAAATGACTGTGACCTGGGAAGAAAAATTAAGAAAAACTGAGGAGATAGCACAGGTTTGCTGCTTTCTCTTCCCCCCCCTGCCTTATGAAAAATAGGTTTGTTTCCTTTGTCTGTCAGTTCATAGAGATTGCCTGAATCTCTCCTCAAATTTATGGGTAAGTAGGTCAAGCTTACTGCCCTTTTGAAAAGCTTCACTTAATTCCTGTAATAGCTGGGTACCTCCCAGATTGCTATTCCAATGACAATAATAAATTGTCACTGTATGCAAATGGAGACGTTATTTAAAAAAATAATAATCCGTGGATGAATGGATTACAGGGATTTTATATTCTTCAGACAGTAAAATTGTTGTCTGTGCTGAAAGATGGAGCGTTGAGAGTGCTAAATACAAGGTTATGTACAGAGTGCCTCAATCCACAAGGCAAAGGGCATTCAGAATATTAAAAACCAGAACTGTTCAGGATCTCTGTGTGTTTTAATACCTCTTACACTGATATTTAGGGCCTCAGACCATAATTGAAGATGATGGTTACGTTGAAAAATTGTGCAGGTCGCCACGATTATTGCATGACACTTCCAATTCTTACCACACAAATGCTGATGTATATATTTGCAGTAGGCAGCTTCTGAGGGGGAGGACTACTGAAAGGTGATGAATAGCATGTAATAAATACGGAGAAAACGGAGCCCTCAATACAAAGCCCTCTTGTAGATGACACAATCAGAAGAGACTGTGTTGACTTTCGTTTTAAAGATCCATTGTAAGAAGCGCTGCTTGTGACTACGAGGGCTTCCTGGCTTTCAATGCAGATTCGTACCACGGATTTTCCTCCCTGCGTGTAAGGGTGTATAATAATAATAATAAAAATTTCTGCTCTCATCCTACACAACAGTTTCTAGGCATAGAAACCCTGAGTGTGCGAGGAGGTTGAAAAACTGAAGTAATGGGTTCAACGCTACAGACTAAATCTGCCTTGATGTTTGCACATAGCTGCTTGCTTTAACTTTCCTCCTCTTTGTCTCTAAATTCTCAGCATGTTCTGATGTTTCAGAGCTGGGAGTTTCATGAGCCTTGCAGCAGTAGAAAAAGTGATTTTTAATTATTTTTTTTTTTTTTTTCAGAGGAGAGGGCTAGTGTTTGTGCAGTATAAGGTTGTTTCAGGACCCCTTGGAAGCCAGTGGAAAGAACCTTCTGCCATCGTCAGTAGGCTTATGGAGGCCCAACGTTAAAGGCATTCATATCATGGCTTGTCAAATGATTTTATTTTTGGCCAGCATCCACCAACATCTGTCTGTCAAATTGTAGCAGGGTAGGCAGGTAGGATGGAGAGATAATTGTAAATCTTTGAGGAAAGGGTGATTCCTCATAAAGAATGAGGGCAATGGAAGAGGCCGTTTGTAGATGGAGCGGCAATAAGGGTTCAAAGCCTTAAAGACTGTGTGAATAGGCAATTTTTCACATTTTCAGTGAGTATTTGACATCCTTTTAATGTATTTTGAATGTTTAAGTTAATTAACATTAGGTCTTGAGCAAAAGTTAACAGAAACTGGCTCATTTTCTTTAAGTTAAATCTAAGAGATTTAGACTGTGGGCCAAGTCCTCCTTTGGGCAACACGTTCTTCATCTCTGTAGATAATAAGGAATTATGTGAACTTCAGAGCCTGGCACTGATGATCGGAACGGAAGAGAGATCTTTGACATCACACTGCAGTTTTTCCTCTGTTCTTTGTTGTTGTTTTTTTTTCCTCTCTCTCTCGCACACGCACACATACGCAGCTTTTCCTTACAAGGACGTTATGTTGGTTTTGTGAGTGTGTGGGGAGACAGGGTACAGAAAATCAAGAGGGAGTTGTGCTTGCTATTCTTTGCTGTTTTAATCTTGATTAGACCTGGTACAACTCCAATACTGAAGGGAGAATTATACTGAATAGTATGACATACTAAGTTTTTAAATACAAAGCAGAGTGGTAGGTGGAGGTCAGAACCTCAATAAACATTCCAGCATTATTCCTGTATAATGTCTGCTAGATATTTTTTTTTAAGGATGCCCCTGCAGGTCTCTTGTATTTTTTTTATTTACTTGTTTTACTCTCCCCTGTTTCAGCTTCCCCCTAGTAATTCTGTGAGAGGCCTCCCATGTTTACTTTTTATTTCGTTCACTGTTGTGGCTAGTGAGTCTCATTTCAGTTTCTGTATGATCCTGGGAACAATTCTCAACATTTCTACCTCAATTTTTTTTTTGTAGAAGAATCCCTTTCTGTTCTTAAGTCAGAAATGTTTAGTGTTCCTCTTTCACTGCTCTAGTCTTCACCCAAACACTTGCCTTTGAAAGATGTACGTTTTTGCACAGTAATGCTTTGTTGTTGAATTCTATGAAGTCTATTGATGAGAACAAAACACCATCCAAAATGCTGGTTTTCTTGTTCAGCAG